GTGTTCATCCAGCTCTACATCTTGTTATCCCTTGTAACAATATGCAGCAGCTATAGAAAGCTTATCTTTCAAGGGAGAGCATGTTTAATTATTAGGCTGCTGACACAGGTCTCATCAGAAAATGTGGATTCAATCATGGAGAATTCAAGTAGTTAAATCAATGTTCCTTGCTGTACTGTTCTATGTTCTATTTAATAAAACTCCGAATTAAAAAGCTTGTCCAGCACCAGCAGATTATCATAAGAATCAGTCCAATTTACAAGTGTCTTCAGAAAAGAAATCTGTTGTCCTTATCTGGTCTGGTCTACACATTCCTTCAGACCAACAGTATATTGATTCTTAACCATGCCCAAAAAATGCCTAGGAAGTCAGTTCGACCAGACCACAGGTAGAAACAAAATTAACCTGGACAGACACCCAGCACTTAACAAGGCATACAAATTGACAGAGGCAGACCGCAGTCCAGTCTACCCTACAAAAAGTTACATCTGTGGAGCTCTGAAGGTTTCAGGGGTTGTTGAGAAGAATCTTGATTACATCAGCAGAATGCCTCCCACAGTCTGCAGCTGAGTACCTTGGCTGCTGCCTTGTTGTCGCAGGTTGTGGTCACTCTCTCTGCTGTAGCAGTGTTATTTTTACTGCACCCTGTCAATATTCCATAACTTTCCCTCCGTTGTGGACAATGTGCTGAACCAGTTCCAAAATGGCAATTGTTGTAGGCAGTTCTGTTACATTCTGGACCATTGAGGCTGCCATCATTAGTTTCCAGTTAAGACTGAGCGATAGAATGGCAACAGAACGAGGTCGTTTGTCCTGTCATACCTGTACTGGCCCACTGTAAGGACTGTTCAGCTGCTCCCGCACCCCTGCCTTTTCTCCATAGTGTTTTCTCTTTGAATAATCATCCAATTATTTGTTGCCCAAATCTAGCATTTGGCCTGGCCTCAGTTCATTTCACATCCAGCCAAATATGAACATACCAGTTAGGAACAGGAATAGGCCATTCAAACCTCCAAGATTTTATAATATTATAGCTCATCCAATTGTGGCCTCAACCCCACTTTCCTGATAAACCAAAGCAAGGTAAGAGTGAAGACAAGAAATAAAGAATAAGAGGAAGGAGAATCTGCTAGCAATAATCAGAAGACAAAAGATGCCACATGGACAGAGCAAAAAGACAAAGAGAATTGGTTCGAAAGATAAGGATAGCAGTCTTTGTCAGAGTAAGACCTAGCTATATTTTCTGAGCTGATTCAAACTTCTATTTTGACACCTTAGGAATTCCACTGACTTGTCAATCCTGTTCGGAGAGCAGCACTCAGCCAACATGAGCATTAGTATCTACTTCAAGCACGAAAGGCTCACTAATTTTGTGTCTTATTGTCACGTCACTTTGATGCCCATGTATTTTATAAAAGGTAGACAAACAGGAGTCTGGAAAAACACAGCAAGCCAGGCAGCATCTGGAAGAAAGGAAAAGTCAACGTTTTGGGTATTACCCTTCTTCAGGACTGATTAAGTATTGAGCAAGGTTAGGCAGCTGAGCCTAACCCTATTGTTTCTTGATGTTCGCTCAGCAGCTTCTGATCAGAGTAAGCAAATGAGTTGTTCTTATCCATTTCCTAATCCAGAATGTTGAGGGCAAAAACAATGGCCAATCACAAATTAGGGATTGAGCCTGCAACCTTTATCAGCCCATTCTGCTTTGTTACTTCAAACGGCTTAACAATGTTTGAAGTGAGGAGAGGTTCTGAGTGAATTCAACAAATCCATTGCTGAATTATCAATTCACAAATTGGTAGGGACAGTGATAAATCCTCAGATTCACATTCAGTGGAATTTTTCAAAAGGAAATTGGATAAATACTGGATAAGAGAGAATTTATAGGGAAAGGGCAAAGAAGTTGGTCTTTCAACTGAAATAGTATGGACATGATGGGCTGAATAGCCACCACCTAGTTTTTTTAATTCATTCATGGGATGTGGGTATCGCTGACTAGGCCAGCATTTATTGCCCATCCCTAATTGCCAAGAGGGCAGTTAAGAGTCAACCACATTGCCGTGGGTCTGGAGTCACATGTGGGCCAGACCAGCTAAGAACAGCAGAGGGTAGTTTCCTTCTCTAAATGGCATTAGTGAACCAATTTGGTTTTTCCTAACAATTGGCAATTGATTCATGGTCATCATTAGACCCTTAAATCCAGATTTTTATTGAATTCAAATTCCACCAACTGCCCTGGCAGGATTTGAATCTGGGTCTCCCACAACATTCCCTGGGTCTCTGGATTAACAGTCAAGTGATAAATACCTCCAAGGCCATTCATGATTTGCAAAGGCTTGTTTTGATCTTAATCAAAGAAACTAATAATATGTTACTTAGAGTTCCCATAATGATGAATATGTTTCCATCCTGAAGTGGGGTGGGGACAGGGATTGGTACCTCTAATCCATGAGGTTATCTTGCCCTAAAGTGCAGCTTTTTTTCTTAACTCCAGAATGCATCCAGCTCCTGAGTGGTCTGGAGTAAGCAATCACTAACCTAGAATGCTTACAGGTCAACTCCAATTCTGAGGAATCGTACATTCGGACAGAACTCATCGAGGTCTTTGACTCTTCCTTTCCCTGCAGAAGACAACTATTTGGCCATATCTTTATGATCAGTATCTTTTGAACCTACAGCCCTCTTCAGCATGACCCTGGTAAGCAATTGGCAAAGTTTCTGTCTATGATGATAGGCAACTAAATCATTGCTAAGAAGAAAACACTCTCCAAGTTGGGAGGAAACACTACAGACCTTCATCTGACACATCAAATGTCAGTTCACTTTTCAAAGAAAAACTTTTGCTTAAAATAAAAATGGTTTGGTCCCAAGAGAAGTCATTCCGGAGGTTTAATGACTGAGGGGCTAATCTTTTGCTGTTTTTCTTAGGGAGCCAGATAACTTAGTTTGAAAAGAAAAATCCACCTTCATTTCTTTATCATCCCACAGCAACACCAATCCTCACACCACAGACAATCCATCCAAGAGAGATGGTGCCTATTTCGGCTTCTTCTCAGACTGTCTTTCTCTCTGCTACAGATGAGGGATGATCAAATTTGACAGGAAAGGTTATTTCTTCCAATCTTCACTTGATTGAGTGGTAACATTCTCTTGCCATTAAATCAGAAGGTTGCAGCTTTAAGTCCTTATTAATGATTGGGTTAACGGTAGGTGTCTTTTCCCTAGAATGGGGGATTTCAAAACCAAGGGACATTTTTTTAAGGTGACAGGAGAGAGATTTTAAAAAAAGACATGAGGGGCAACTTTTTTTACACAGAAGGTAGTTTGCTTAAGGAATGAACTTCCTGAGGAAGTGGTGGATGTGGCCACAGTTACAACGTTTAAAAGACACTTAAATAAATACATGATTAGGAAAGGTTTGAAGGGATTATGGGCCAGGAGCAGGCAGGTGGAACTAGTTTAGTTTGGGATTGTGTTCAGCATAGACTGATTGAACTGAAGGGTCTGTTTCCGTGCTGTATGACCCTATGACTCTATAATTCCTCCCCACTAACATCTGGAGTCTAATGACAGAATTAGGAGAGCATTCCACAATTCTGTCAAACAAAACCTGACACATAATTGTGCTAATCTAATCATTCACTGACTATAATGTCCCAAACCGCTCCAGCATTTGAAACCAGAAGTACTGGATGAATGATCCATCTCGTCCTCCTTCTGAGGACTCCAACATCATAGAAGAAAAAGACACAGTCATCAGCAAATACAATTCATTGCATGTTTTCTCCAGAATGGTTGACCGTATTGTTAACAGCAAAGGCGATAGGCCCTAACAGCATGCTGGTTATTGTAGACTTATGTTCCAGAACCAACTGCACCTTTAGCCAACCTTTTCCAGCACAGTTACAATACCTAGAAAATTGTCTGGGCCCAACCAGAATAACGTGGATAAATAAAGGTCCAACCAATGTGGATAAATCCAATTGAGCTAATTAATGCTCTGAAGAAGGGTCACTAAACCCAAAATGTTAACTCTGCCTTCTCTCCACAGATGCTGCCAGACCTGCTGAGTTTTTCCAGCAATTTCTCACTTCATTTCTGATTTCCAGCATCCACAGTTCTTTGGTTTTTAGTTTATTGACCAATTAGTGACAGATCAGTCTACTCTCCATCAACAGCAAAGAGATGGAGGGTGTTATTGACAATGCTATCAAACTGCATTTGCTCTGCAATAATCTCCTCACTGTCCTGTATGTTTGGATTCCATCACTGCAGCTTGGCTCCAGACCTCCTTATCCAGTCCCAAACATGGCCAAAGAAGCTGAATTCCAGAAGTGTAGAAAGAATGACTGTCCATAACATCAAAGCAGCATCGCCTTTCTGCTAGGTGTGACCCCAACTCTTTGCCTGATTCCCGCTGACTTCAATTTTACTAGGGCTTCTTGATGCCACACTGGTAACACGTTCCCGGTACCTACCACCCTCTGTGTAAAAAAAACTTGCCTCACACATGTCCTTTGAATTTTCCCACTCTCACCTTAAACCTATGCCACCTAGCATTCGACATTTCCATCCTGGGAACGTGGTTATTCTGAAATTCACCACCATGTTTTAATTGCAGGACTACAGGAGAATTACTAGATGCAGGCTTCCTAACAAATAATCATTTAAACATACAATTGGAGAATACTTGTATAAGTTCATCAGGTACATGGAACAGATTTTTAAGCATCTATTTGAGGGGTTCCTCGAAAAAACTGTGTGGTGAAACAGACATTTTTAAATATGAAATAATGACGTTTGGCAGTTCAGCAGCAATGCCAAGAGTTTCACCATTAGCTACACAACTGTCATCGCATTGCAAACCTTCAGCAAAGCAATTAAATTATATGCTAACTCAAACTTCCTGTTAATGTACGGAATTAGCAAAAGTGCACTCCAGTTCAAAGACACCATACCAAGAAATGAATCAAAGATTTTTTTTAAAAAAGGATAAAAGTGCAGGTATTTCCTAGTACACTTGCTGTACATTCAGCAGTCAGGGCCCAGTCCTTGATCTACACCAGCTGGATATGCAACACAAGGAAACAGCACAGACCACTGGCAATAATACCAGGAACATGCCTGGCATTTGGACATAAACTGTATCTGTAATCCTAGCCCGACTAGCTGCAAACCGGAATACAAACGCTGCGTTCTATGCAGATATTCTTATTATCTCTGGCTGCTTTCTATGCAATACGTTCATCAGCTCCTCTTAAGTTACATGGATCAGTAATAAGCAGCCAGTGCGCCCTATATGAACTGTATCTGTTCCAAACTGATGAACTGTAGTCAAACCTCAATCTCCCCACTTTATTCCCAGCCTGTATACTCCGCCTGTCCCTACAGCTCCCCATTCATTACCTTGCTGTTCAGGCTCACTTCCAGCCTCCCTCTCCGGACCCATTCTCCCTTCCTTCGATCCACTGTTGACTCACGGCAAAATCTGGCGCCAAATCCTCCGGAACTGAAATTAATGAAATTGCTAGTTCGGAAGGACGTCATTCGGCACGGCGCGGGAGTGGGGAGAGTGCAGAATAGAGCGCGGCCATCTTTCATCAAGGCACTCTGAATTTGCTGTCTGTTTTCATGAATGGGAGGGCAAGAAACTACAGGGTCCAGAGAGACTGATGTAACAGCAATAACATCAGCTATGCAACAATCGTCAACGACAACACATGTTACAAAGTATATTCTCAAATTGATAAGAGCTTCATGCGTTTTTGGCAAATCTCCAAATTCTTCAAAATCTTAAATTGTAATGTGCACTTGCGCTTTAACGCAACACCTCGGCTTATTGTCCAATGATGCTTCATCCAGAACTGTTTTCTTGGCAGTTTTTTATTTTTCAATGGTTTGTTTGCCATGGCCATTTTCAAGACAAGTGTGAGGAAGTAGATTTTATAGCTACCCTTGCTGGATTGCGTGCTCAGTCTTGGAATGGGACTTGAGCCATTACAGTTCCTTCAAATCAACCTGCAAAATGTTAGCTCACTCACATCAAGGACCCTTCCCATCTACCTATATTGAGGAAAAAAGTCAAAACGTTGGGCCTGACTAAAGAATGGCGTAAAATAAAACAAAGAGTGGCAGATGCTGGAGATCTGAAACAGGATGAAGGGTCACTGTACTCAAAACGTTAACTCTGCTTTATCCCCACAGATGCTGCTAGACCTACTAAGTATGTCCAGCAAGTTCTGTTTTGGTTAAAGACTGAGTTTTGATTACTAAATATTTAAATTTAAATTTTAAATACTACTTTTGAATACGTCATTCTCACTGAGGCCAGCAGTTTCACATTCTGTGTTGCTCCACTCTACAACCACCTTGGAGGTGGCAAGATCATCATCTTTTTGCTGTTTTAAATGACTAGCTGCCAGCCTCCATTTAAAGTAGTTGCTGAGGGCCTAAAAGTAATGTTGTAATTGACTGTTAATTATGTGATTAGGCAATTTGAAGCAACATGTCAAATCCCAGAAAAACCACTATGTTCATGCAGGTTAGATTCCAGACCATAATGATTGGAGTCTCCTGTAGTATTTTTTATTTAAGATCATAAGGTATAGGAGCAAGATTAAGCCATTCGGCCCATCAAGGCTGATCCACCATTCAGTCATGGCTGATACATTTCTCAATCCCACTCTCCTGTCTTCTCCAAAGTAACCCTTGATCCCCTTTACTAATCAAGAACCTATGTATCTCTGTCTTAAATACACTCAATGACTTTTTGTGTTGATATTCTTACCAGACAAGGCAGACACAGGCAGGATGGCTTGATAAATCATGTATTGGCTTATTTTTGTTTTAGCTAAGTGGACTCACACTGAAGCTTAACACACAATGCTACAGATTTTGCTTTAACAATAAAACAGAAGTCTATTAACAAAGGAAATGAACACAAAATAAACAAAACTATCTACTAATAACACAAATTCAAAGATTTTAAAGACACAGTTGAAGTATACTCCCATTAATCCCAAAACAATCAATTATAAATTTTAAAGAAACAAAACAACTTTTGAATGGTATACAAACCACAACAGTACAGTACCCAAAATACTACAAATACAATACTCACACTAAAGTCCCTGTATCTAACTCCACAGTAGCTTTAAGCCATTGTGACTTCAACATTTGGACTGGAACTACAGATAACTCCAGGAAGAAACAATCTTAAGCCTGCTTAAATATACTAGCTTCATGTAGTCTCTTCAGGGTTTTATCCTAACACTCCCAGTCTGGGACTAACACTAACTCTACACTTTAACCTAGTTCACTATATAGAGATTGCAAGAACTGCAGATGCTGGAGTCAGAGTCAATACAGTATGGAACTGGAGGAACACAGCAGGTCAGGCAGTATCAGAGGAGCAGGAAAGTTGATGTTTTGGGTTTACACCCTTCATCTGTCCTGATGAACGGTGTAAACCCAAAACGTCAACATTCCTGCTCCTCTGATGAAATCTGATCTGCTGTGTTCCTCCAGTTCCACACAGTATTGACCAGTTCATTGTATATCCTTCCCTGCTTAGGAGCACTGGCCTACACAGACATCCTATTCCAATGATTTCTCAGGACTGCAACACTCAAAGTAAAAACCAAAATATTTGTCTACCCTTGTAAGTTATTTCTGTTCCCCTTCAGCTAAAAATGAACAAGGTCCAAAAGTCTCCAGCAAACTTTAAGGCTTCATTACTGACTTTGATGGATCTCAAAATAATCTAAAATAAGCAAAAACCCATTTGTGATGGACACACGAAACTCACTGGTTACTGACTCAAAAATCTGAAAATTGAATTTGCAGTAAATGGTATTAAATATTTTCACAAATCCTACAGCTTATATCACAGAGGGAAGAAGAGGAGGACAACCTTTTAGATTCCATAGTGAGAATATACCGCAGAATTATTATAGTTCATTCAACTTATTGTGTCTGCACCAGCTCTCCAAATAAGCAATTTACTTATCACCATAGATCAGTAGAATCTTTGTATCCTCAAGGAAGAATTTATAATCCCCAGAGGTCCTTACACATACTTTGTGTGTCGGAGGCACAGTGCACTGCAACCTTCCTTGTAGTCTGAGCTTTGATTCACTATTATTACTGGGCTAGGTGGTGGTAGTTTTGCAGCTAATGAGCCATGCAGACTCATCTCTGCACACCTTGCTAGGTAAAAAAAAAAACATATCCATAGCCCCTAACCCTAATTGTTATCCAGTAACATTTGCCCATATGGGGAAGACTGTGCATCTCATCCCAATAGTTTCCTCAGCACTAACTTAACCTGCAATAATTGCAACAAATCAACTGATTTTTTCTTACAAATTTAGGTTGAGGTTTTTATCATGTTCACTGTTTACAAAAGCATTAGCAATCATATCAACGAAAGAAACAAAGAAAATGTACAATATTGCTGCCTAAGAAAAGTTAACCCTGGATTCTGTATCAGTTAGCTCCATGTTGGGCATTTCTTTTCTGTCACAGTGATTTTGCTATCATTTTAAAAGTCAATTAGCTAACAAAATATGAGGAAAGTATTTCAAGATATTTTTCTATAATAAGGGTAGCAGTTCCTGAAGAATGACTTTCTTCTTAAACTCTACTTGTTCATTGAATTGGAAGTCCTCTGCAACCCTATTCAGTCTGATGTAAACAATTGGTGTTTCACTTCCAACGTCACCCACATTGCTAAACAAATTTTTAAGTTGGTGAGAGGATTTCCTTCAATGATATTATCCATGCCTTCGGGAGAAATGTATCTTTCATTTTCCTCTGTGTCCTATTTTCTCATTTATTTGTCCAATTTTCATCCCATGGGGTCCACATGAAGGACAGGATAAGACAATCCAATTTTTCCTTCTTTCCACATGGAACTTGTTTTTTTTTCACATTTCTTTATTTTATCCCATTACCATCCCCCTTAACCTTGCAAAATTCTTCCATTCCATCATTTCCCCAGCCTTCTAACCTCTTACAGACTTTAATGGAAATACAAAATACTGTGGATGCTGGAAATCTGAAATGAAAGCCAGAAGTTTTAAATGTACATTTCAGGTCAAGGCAGCATTTGTGGACAGGCAAACAGGCAAATGTTCTGATGTGGTGAAAGATTGTCAACATGAATTCTGACCTAGATTTTCACAACAATGTGGGGAGCCTGCATCTTTGAAAAACAGTGGGCGGGGTGCCAAAATCTGGAAGTTGTGCCACTGAACACCACACCGATCAATTTTGTGGGTGCAGCAAGAGGGACACAATGTATTTAGCACAATGTATTTACTGACATTTACACAGGCAGCTGCCCATATAAATCAGCAACTTCTCCACTTGTACCTAATTCTGGTTACCTAGGTGTGTTAAAATGAACATGCATAAAATAGACCTGGTAAGAACATGTCTAAACACCATACAGTCATTTGGGGATGGGGGTGAGGGATCCTACCAGAGTGAAGGTACCCTTTTATATATGTTCCTGGGATTCCAACTGGGAGAGAGGTCAAATGTCCTTTGGAGAGGTAAGATGTCCTTTGGGGATGTTAAACATGGACACGAATGTGCATTAAAAAGTACATAAACCCATTGACTGTCAAGCTAATTGGCACTATCAAAAGAACAGTCAAAAGTATCGAAAATAACTCCCATAGTCAACTGTCAAGCTAGAAAGATGTTTTAAACTCCTGTTCTTTATATAATTGAAAGATCTCTCTAGATAATTTAAACAAAAAACATTGCTTGCTGTTTTACTCTGTCTTCAGAGATGCAGCTGAAGCCTAATAGTACTAGATTAGTGCTGCATGACTGATTTCATAACCTCCTATTATCATAGTGAAGGAGCATGTGTTGATATGATTTATCTCTAATTGATTCATGGGCTGGAACGGGTCATTGGTTGTGAATCAAGGGGCAAAGGTTGGCATGGACAGTATGAATGGCTGTAGGTTTTGGGTGCAGGGGCATAGATGGCTGTGGACAGTACGATGGACTATGGATTTGGGTGGAGTCATGATTTGGCATGGGTTAGCATGAATGCAGCATGGGAAGTGTGTGGAGATGTGAGGACTGGGGTGCTGTTTCAGATTTCAATTTTTAAAATTTTAAGATTTTAAAACTTTAAAATTTTAAAATTCAACACAGCACTGGAGCCCCAAGGACAGCCTTCTGGCCAGCCTGCTTCTGCACTGTGCAGCCTCTGTACTTAGACTCATAGAGATATAGAGTAATACAGCATGGAAACAGGCCTTTTGGTCCATACTGACCATGGACTTATTCAAGGGTCAGCCAGCCAGCCTTCCAGAAAACACCTCCCAGATGTCTGAACTTCCAGGGCACTTTCACCTGGCTTAGGATTACAGTGCTGGGAAATGTTCCATCTCTGCACTCCCAATCTGGGAGCAAATATTCAGGCCTCATTTTCTCCACTCACAGATGCTGCCAGACCTGCTGAGTATTTCCAGCATTT